CCCCCCAGTCATTAGGACCCCTTCAGCTGTGGGTCTCTCCTCCTGCTGTGCTTTTCCGTGGTGGTAACAGGGAGGGAAGTCCTCGATAACCTGCCTTATATTGGATGGCCTGCTTTCCATCGCTGCCTCTGTGTGTGATGGAGTGAAGCAGCGAATGTCTCAGTGCCTGTGCTGATGCGAAGCGATGGGGTGGGCATCGGGATGGTGGTGTGTGAAGGAGGGAGCAGGTGCTGCCGTGGCACGGTGGGCATCGCTGCACACAGAGCTCTGGAGAGGACCTTCTGTTCTTAAAGTACTGTGGGACTCGGGGCAAAAGAAAAGCAGGTTCTGAGGGTGTCGTGTGCTCAGCTCGTGTCCCATCCTGGAGGTGTGCGGTGTCCCCTGAGGGTCCTGCCCCAGCAGTTGGAACTGGTGAGGTGTCCCTTCCTGAACTGCTCCTGTGCTGTGATGTGTGGGATGCTGTGGGATGATGGTGATGGGGAGAGCAGCCAAAAGGGGCAACCTGGGGAGCACCGGCAGCAGCAAAGCTGTGGCTGGAGGGATGTGAGGGCAGGGACAGCCCTGTGGCTGGGGGCACTGACAGCTTGGAGTCACAGAATCATCATCAAGGTTGGAAAATGCTACTGAGATCATCTGGTCCTGCAAGGCCGATGGCAGCCATCCCACCTCTTTGTACAGTGACCCTAATTTGCAAGCAGGGTTTTGGGCACATATCCACAAACGAGGGGGGAGTGCTTGTGGACCATGAGGTCACCTCCTGCTAACAGGTTGAACAGAGGCACCTGTTGTGGCCTTCCCAGTGTGCCACCAAAGCCACAGACGTTCAGCCCAGGGGGGAGAGGACAGGAGGGGGCAGCCACCCCTTTCTGCTCTGCCCTTTGAGGCATCAGACAGCGGTGATCGATCTGCAGAAGTCATTTTCCATGCTCTGAACGCAGCAGCTGCCCTCAAGGGAAGGCTGGGATGTTCTCCAGCTGCGTTGCTCTTTCTCAGTAGTTCTTTGCTGGCTCTGCTGTTGCTTGCATTGGAAGCTGTCCCTTACAGAAGAGCAGCTTGGGCACCCTGGGGCTGTTTATAAGGCCAACCCTGTGGAGCAGCAGAATCGTGGAATCATAAAGGTTCAAAAAGATCTCTAGGGTCACCTGGTCTGACCTCAGCCCTCAGGGCCGCAGCTCCATGGTTCTGAAACACCTCCAGGGACGGTGACCCCACCACCCCCCTGTGCCAATAAGGGGATGTTTACACCCCACTTCCCAACCTTCTCACCTGGGAAGCTTCTTGGTGCTTCATCCCACATCCCTCCTGCAGGAAGATGATGTGGGACAAAGGTTTATCCCTGCAACTGTGCTGCTGCATTATTTTTTGGCCATGAACTGATAGCTTTTCCCACTTTCCTGCTCATCCAAGGGCTCTGGTGATACCAGTGCTGTTTTAAAGGCCAGTGTCTGGGCGGTGGCTTTAAGATGTGCAATGGCAGGGATCTCCTCCACTCTTTGGACAGGACACCAAGGTGCTGCTCAGCAGTGACCGGGTGGTGACATGCTGCTATGGCAGGGACACACGAGGGCAGGCAGTGCCTCAGAGCCCGCTCTGGGTGTCCCAACCCAAATCAACCGAGGGGAAGCCAAGAAATGCTGGAGCTGTGCTCCAGGAAAGCATCCAGCAGCCCAAATTAACCCAAAGCCCATCCACCAGCCCGTGGCTCTTTCCATCATCACGTCCCCCCTTGAGCCCATGGGCTGCAGTGCTGTCCTTGCCGTGGCTTTTCTTGGCATCGCTGCTTTTGGAGGCAGCACTGATTTTCAAGCTCGCTTCCGTGTGATTGCAAAAAGGGCCCCTGGGGGCTGAGCGATCCTGGGAAATAATTGGGCATCTGTAGCAGAAAATAAGCAAGGAGAAAAAAAGAAGTGGAAAACATCATGATTTCTTGCTTTGCCTGTCGTTGTCTGGTTCGTTCTGCGGTTCACTTTGCCTTCAACTTTTGCTGTCGGGGCCAATGGGCGCAGTGCTGGCACGGGGGTCTGGGCCGTGCACTGTGGGATGGGGGGTGGTGGTGGGGCTCAGTGGATCAGGTTCAAGGTTGGGCTTGATGACCTTGAAGGTTTTTTGCAACCTAAACGACGCTGTGATTCTAAGACTGATAGTTTCTGTCTGTTTATTTTTTGATATTCCAAATCTGCCATACCAGCCTTGACTTTGTAGCAGGAGGGAGCTGCCTGGATGCACTGGAATGGTTTGGGGGCAATGCAGCTCCCACATAAAGGGTAATGCAGCTCCGAGGGGGATGCAGTCCCTGCCTGTGCTGCTGATGGTGCCTGCCTCTGCTTCCTGAAGGACTGCGAGGGGAGTGCTGCGTGCAGACTGCTGCCACCTCATCCTGAGGCACCAACCCGGAGCTCCACAGCGAGCAGGTAGGTCCCAGAAAATCCCAACCACCAATTAACCCTCGTTTGGGACAACCAGCCCCATTTGGACTCTATCCAGGGGGCTGTTCATCCAAGCACAGATCTAGCGATGCTCTTGGAGGAGACCCTTTGTCCCCTTTTTGTGCTGGGAGGAAAGTGGGGCTGAGGGCAAGTGATAAATTTGGGTCATCTTATTGAGTGGCTGTGCTGTGTCATTGCTGGGGATTGAGGGACACCAACCCGTGGGGGGGGGGGGGGCACACACAGCACCTTGCTCGTAATTCCTTAGAGCCCAGGCATGAAAATGAGCAAAAAGCAGGGAATTCAGTACGGGAGCTGCTTTTTCTGACAATAGCAGCTGTGATTCTGCTTGTGTCGGACGTGGCTCCATCGCCATCAATAGCCCGGAGCCATCTGCAATTCAGATTGTGTGCAGTGGCAACTGGTACAACAGGATGCTGGTGCAGGCAGGGACGTGGTCCCCTCCTGGCTCTGCATTTCTTCCTCCCTGAGCATGAAAGGAGGGAGGAGCAGGATGTTTTCTGGCTTTTTCATTCCCCGTCCCGGCTGCCATGAGGTCGTGGCTGTCATTTAGGGAGGAAAAATAAAAAAGAAAGGAGGAGGAGAAGATCAAATGCTGGTGCTCACATTGAGCTCAGCACAGCCAGGCTTTGTCCCACAGTGAGGAGACCCCTGGGAGACAGGTCCT